AGATAATTAAACATATATGTTACTTTTTTGTTGGCGCCAGGATTAAACCCAGAGCCTTGTACATGCTAAGCAAGCTCACTACCACTAAGCTATACCCCCAGCCCACATTATTATCTTCAGGAATAAAGATAAGCATAAAAGAAAAGAATACAGGTATAAAATCAAAGACATGAAATAAACCATCATAATCTTAAATATAAGTTGGAAGTATCAGTATAAACTCATGATTCACTTTTTCCTTCCTAAAAAATCATATTACCTAGTTCTGTTCACTGAAAAGCTTAGAAACTGAGGAACCAGGAGCAATAAGCACCCCTGGAATCTAAACTAGTCTTTACATATTATTTTCCATTAAAATAAACCAGGCTTTCTTAGGAAAAAAAAAAAAAAAGGCCAATGTTAGGTCTAAGGTAGAAAGTATCCAAGATGAGGACAGAATACCTTGGTATGCTAGATAGTAGAAGAAATAAAAAAAGAGTATTGGAATCATCTTTAAAAGGATACGAGGGCCAACCTAAAGGTGCTCTTAAAGATGTGATGACCACTCCCACCCCTTACCCCTACCCCACTCTGGGGATTTAATGAACCCAGAGCCTCCTACACACTAGGCAAACAACACTAGGCTACACCCCTCTCCCCAGTGTGATGGGCTCTAAAGCATCAAATATATTAAAATTCACAAGTTCATGGAAGTTAAAAAAGTTCAGTTTACCTCTGACAAGTGTTAGGACACCAAAACATTATTCAAAAAAATTAGTAAGTAAAGGAAAATAATCAAGGATTTAGCCTGTTTTTCCCATAAGAACTGTATTTCAAGAAAAACAAAAGAGTTGATGAAGAAAAGTACATTATACAAAAATCTCAGCTGTTAAATGCAGAAGAAATGGTGGGGAAAAAAATCACTATTTTGTAACCTCTAATGCAAACACATATCTACATAATGATCACATTTGGCTCTGACAAGCATTAGGAGAATAGTGGGTGAGGAATTTTTATAACAGATTAGATCATGCTGACAATACTTGAACCCTGACCTCATCATCAGTCCAAACATGACTAAAAGTAAGACAACCAGATATGATGAAACTCCTGATGTGATGCAGTAGGAAACACAGAGCATCATCTGTAATTTATTCTTACATATGAAACTGAATCTGAGCCTAATCAATCTATATCTGATCTGTAATACACAAAACATAGTGGGAATACAGATATTGTCAAAGATCCCACACAGATGCAGTACACCAGTGATTGCTACCTTTTACAGACTGAGTGCCCAAACTGCAACCCAAAACCCACTTATTTATTGCAAAGCTGCAACACTGCAATTAAATCCGAATACTGAGGTTTTATTTTAGAAAAAAACAACTGTTATCTGATGTTCAGCTCCCAGCTCGTGTGCTTACAGAGGGCTCTGTGTGCCTAGGTTCATCACCACTTCAGTAAACCAATTCCAGAAGGTGGCAAATTCATTCTATTAAACAACTTGGGTTTGCTTTTTTTGGGGGGGCGGGATCAAACTCGGGACCTTGAGCTTGCGAGACAGGCAGTGGAACCACTGAGCTAAATCCCAGGCCCTTGTCTTTTTACTTTTAATGAATGGTTTGCAAAAAAGTACAAGAGAGGGGTGGTAACATTACTGTCAAAAGTTAAGACTCTAAAGAATTAAATCAAGAAAATGCAGTATGTGACACTAGTTCAGATTCTGATTTGAATAAACCAACTACAAATAAACATTCTAGAGAAAAATTAATAAAATCTCTATCTGGGTATTAGATAGGTATTGCATTGTATAAAATCAGGAATTGTTAATTCTTTTAATTTTAGAATAGCATTTTGTATGTTTTTTGTCATTCCTCCATTTTTCTAACTCCTTATCTGTTAGAGATACATAGTGGCATATATGAAGATAAAATGAAACATCTGGTGTTTGCTTTAAAAATAACAGGGGAGGCCAGGGATTTAGCTTAGTGGTTTTGACACCTGCTGCACAAGCACAAGGACCCAAGTTCGATCCCCAGTACCAAAAAAAAAATAAAATAAAATAATAGGGGAAGATATGGTTTACATGGAGGAAATATAGAAAAAAAAATGTCAAACCCTTGAGTGTTGAGTCTAGGTAATGGGTCCAGGAAAGTTGATTTTATAATTTATTCTACTTTTATAAGTATTTGAAAGTGTCCATATTAAAAAATTTTTAAAAAGCAAATTAGGACTGGAAAATTAAGCAGCTTAACTGTGTGTGTGCCCGCGTGTGTGTGTGCATGTATGTGCATGAGCATGTGTGTCTTTCTTAAATTTTAAGAAAGAAAAACAGTTGGGTATGGTAATACATGCTTATAATCCCAGAACCTAGGGAGGATGAGGCAGGAGAATCACAAAGTCAAGCCCAACCTGGGCAACTCAGCAAATTAACAAGATCCTGTCTTGAAATTAAAAAAAAAAAAGTAAAAGCCTGGGAATGTGCAAAGACCCTGGGTTCAATTCCCAATACCACAGAGAGAGAAAGAGACAGACAGACAGACAGAGAAATAACTCCAAATTAGCACTTACATACTACTGATAGGTTATGAATTAAACTTTCAGCCCTTAAAGAATTATCATAAGATAGTATTACTCACCATCCTCATGGTCGAATCTTCCCAAAACAAAGTTGATACCAATCCATGCATAAACCCCTAAAGAAGAAATATAAAAGGCCTCGCTTAATTCTCTACACCTATACCATATGTACATCTCTCCCTAGGGCTACTCTCTTCCCCTTTTCTTGGGAAAAAAAGTCATAGTACTATATTTTATTCCATACTCTCAGTGTACAGATTTTAAATCTTTTATGTTGTGATTCCTCCCCTCTTTTAAAATTATTTGCTCAGGGGGCGGGGATTTAGCTCAGTGGTTCTGGCACCTGCCTTGAAAGCGCAAGGTCCCGAGTTCGATCCCTGGTACCAAAAAAAATTTTTTAATTAAAAAAAATAAAATAAAATTATTTGCTCAGGAGCCTGAGGCACAAGGGTTGCGAATATGAGGCCAGCCTGGGCTATATAGCAAGATAAAGCTTGGCCTGGAATGAGATCCAGTCCTTAAATTTAAAAAAAAATTACTTGCATCTTGCAAATTTCCTGTAATGAATAAGAATAACTATAAAAACAGATGTTAAAAAGTGTAAATCCTTGAGTTCTACTTCTGGGCAAGGAAGAAGAAGCACATTTCACCCTGTCTCCCTACTGGATGCAAAGAGAAATTTTAGACAGAATGCATGCAGCAGCTTTGTGAGAGCTCTGGTGAGTGAAAGATATAGGGCACATTGAGAAAGAGGCCAGAATTCACCCCCAACTCAGCAATGAGTCTCTCATTTTTCCCCCCTTCTGCCCCAAACACTCCTATAACAACAGAGGTGCAGGGTGAGTGGATTCCTAAAACTCCAAAGAATGTGAATTCTCTCTAACCAGAGGAAAGAGCAGCCTTAAATGTGTGAGGCAGATTCATACTGCTTATTTTTCTCCCTCTGTCCTCCTGCCACTAAGCCCTTAATGCCAATGAAATCAAGGGAAGTTCTTGGCATAGTAGGCAAATTAAATGCCTCATTTTGTAGGCATGATACTGCATCCCTGTAATCCCAGCATTCTGGGAGGCTGAGGCAGGAGGATCACAAGTTCAAGCCCAGCCTGGGCAACTTGGTGACTTAACAAGAGTCTATCTCAAAATAAAAAATTAAATGTTTTTAAGGGGGCAGGGGGGTGGGGGTGGCCTTCAGTGAGAAAGCCTTGAGTTCAACACACACACACACACACACACACACACACCCTGCTTTTCTGACCAGAGGACCATGAAAGTGAGCTCCAAGGAACAAGAAAGTATTGGGGCTATGGTGACAGTAGGGATGAAGCTGTGTATGAACTCCTGGTTTCACTTCTAGGGTACACATGTGTGCATCTGACCCTAACTTATATACCAAAGCTTTGAGAAGTGAACCACAGGCGAGGCTACTGCCCAGGCTCCACATTGGCCACTGGCTTACACGCATGGGAAAAATCCAAATATAGTAGCAGGGTCAAGGTTTTGAATAATGAACTAATAGAATCACAGCCCACAAAAGGTAAGTGAGAACTTGAGTTTGAACCTAATCCTCCTCCCCCAAAAAGAATGGTCTCCTTATGATTTAGGGCCCAGAGTCTCATAACGTAATATTCAAAATGTCCAGAATATAATATAAAATTACTTGGCATTCAAAGAACCAAAAATCTCTACTAACAAAGGAAAAGACAGTCCAAAGATGCCAACCCCGAGATGCTATATATATTAGAATTATCAAAGATTGAAAGCAGGGCCAGGGATTTAGCTCAGTGGTGCTGCTGCTTGCCTTGAGTGCAAGGTCCTGAGTTTGATCCTCAGTACCAAAAAAAAAAAAAAAAAAAAAAGACCACAAAGATTGAAAGCAGCTATGTAACCAAGAAATATGAGCTGTCTTGCAATGAATAGACTTAGCAAAGAAACAGAATATTAAGAAGAAACTGTAATTTTTTTTTTTTGGTATCGGGGATCAAACTCGGGTCCTTGCACTTGCGCAGCTGGTGGCAAAACCACTGAGCTAAATCCAGGGCCCAAGAAACTGTAATTTTAAGGCTTAAAAATGTAAAATTAAAATTCAAAAAGGTAAATATTTCCCTTTCAGCATATCACAACTAGAAGACAAAAAAATCTCCTTTTTTAAGACATACAGCTGGGCATGGTGGCGCATGCCTGTAAGATCACCGAGAGTTCGAGGCCAGCCTGAATTACACAGCAAGTCCATGTTTCAAAAGGCCAAACCAACACAAAACAAAACAACTGCATAGTAACTGCAATAAAGGGAGTGCTTATAATGAAACAAAAATAATGTATCTTAATCATTCCCTGAAATTAAAGTTCCCCTTTATTTATCCTAGTACTTTGATTTATACTTGAATTTGGCAAACTCAATACAACTCCCAGAACTATGTTTTCAAAAATACAGTTAGCTAACCAATAGTCCCTCTCTTTTTTTGAGACAAGGTCTCGCTATGTAGTCCAGGCTAGTCTTGAACTCACTATGTAGCCCAGGGTGTTCTAGAACTCTTTGCAATCCTCCTGGCTCAGCCTCCTGAGTGCTGCAATTACAGGCATGTACCACCACATCCAACACAAAAATCCATTCAGAGTCATCATTAAATATTAATACACTCTAAACATAGTGCTTAGCACTAAATTAAAGCCAGATGCAGAATATACAAACTATTACAAGCAGAATCAAGAAAACTGTTGGCAGAAAAATAAAACCGGGTATACAAAGTAATCTTATACATGCATTGGTTAAGGCAGATAGTGACTGGCTGAAAAATGACCCTGCTGCACCCCTCAGGGCCCAGTACCTTCTTGCTTCCCGGAGATCACTTCTGCCTGTGACTGAGAAAAGAGGAAGTCAAACTCCAACGGTAAATCTTTCACTAAGTCAGCCAAGAGAGCCAACTGCTTCCTGCAAAAAGGAGAATCCAAAAGTTAATCATGAATTCTCTTCTTACCTGGAACAATGGAGCAAGTCTGTAGCCCCAGCTACTTGAGGGGCGCTAAGGCAGGAGGATTGGGCCAGCCAGGCAATACAGCAACTGCCTCAACTAAATGTCCTCTCATTTAGTCTTGTTATAATGTCATCACTATTCACCTACCTTATCCACTTGCCCAGCCTTGCTTCTTTTTGGTACTTTTTTTTTTTTTCCCTGTTTTGGGGATTAAACCCAAGGCCTTCACACTAGGCTATATCCCCAAGCCATTTTTATCATTTTTTTTTTTTAAGAGTAAGACGAATTGGGCCAGGGATTTAGCTCAGTGGTTTCGGCGCCTGCTGCGCAAGTGCAAGGACCCGAGTTCAATCCCCGGTACAAAAAAAAAAAGAGTAAAAAGAATTTATTGAGAGAAAAACAGCTTCTAAGAGAGACAGAAAAATAGCTTCTGTCTAAGAGAGACACAAGAGAGACCCCCTCCCCCTTCTGTCTCTCTTAGGCAGAACTTTCTTTCTCTCAATAAATTTTTCCTACTCTTAAAAAAAAAAAAAAAAACAAGAGACACCACCACCACCACCACCCCCACCCCACCCCGGAAAGTAGGTTGCCCCTATCTTTTTTATTTTGAGACAGTATCTCATTAAGTCACTAAATTGACCAGGCTGTACTCAAAATTGCAATCCTCCTGCCTCAGCCTCCCAGATTGCTGAGATTGTAGGTATGTGCCAAGAGGCCCAGCTACCTCCTTTGTTTTCAAAGTTTTAAACTACTTCCCAAGTACACCTTCCAACATACAGGGCAATATACTAATACTTTTCCCTTATATGTTATAACTCAAACTGTTAAAAGATGCTTCTCAGAGGGCAATTATGAATAAACCACAGGAAATTGCAGCATAGTTTCACAACTATAAAATAAATGAATTACATTATTCCTAATTAGTATTAAAGATGTAAATTAGGGAATACAATCTCATCCTCAGATCTTACATAATACAGAAACAATACCTCACATTACCACCAAGAGGTGTAGTTAGTTCCACAAGTTTTTATATAATTCTTTGCCTCAGTATTAATTTTAATTTCCTTTTCATATTGGAAGGGTTTTCTTTATAAAATCTTATCATTTAAGGGCCAGGGATTTAGCTCTGTGGTTCCAGTGCCTGCCTTGCAAGTGCAAGGTCCTGAGTTCGACCCCTAGTACAAAAAAAAAAAAAAAAACTTATCATTTGAAAAACTTGGATCAGGCTCAAAATCCAAAGTTCATAATACAATATTTCCAACTTGGGGATGACTTCTGAAGCTTTGTATTCCTTTTAAAATATTGGGTTGTTTTTCCTTTTAAAATATTAAGTATGTTATCAGTATTATCAGACAACGAAAAACAAAGGAAATAATAATAGAAATCTAGGAAAAATAGTCTACTGGCTCAGATAGTTGTCAGCATGACTTAGTGAAGAATGCCATTGACACTTAAAAGGGCAGAATCACACTAGAGGTAATAATCTTCCAATACAATGCTAGGCACAGTTTCCTTTAAAAGTTCTTTGTTAAAATATTAAATTCTTACAAGATTTTCGCATGGGAAACAAGATGGCCTATTCTTCTACTCCACTGGATATGTTTCTAAATCACACACAGGAGGTACTTGCTGGGTTTGATGATATGGAAGAACTTTAAGCACCAACCTATGTTGCTGTTTGGAATATAAATTACCAATACACCTTTCTAAAGAGCACTTGAGAACTGTTTCAAATTTTTAAATGTACTTAATATTTGATCCAGCTATTATATTTTAAAAATTTGTTCCAAGGGATGAAGAGAAGAAGATTGCAACACAATTTATTTATAACAATGACAATGCCGGGAGTGGTAGTGCACACTTGTGATCCCAGCACTTGGGAGGCTGAGGCAGGTGGATCCGTGCAAGTTCCAGGCCAGCCTGGGCTACATAGTGAGTTTAAGGCCAGCCTAAACTATATGATAAGACCCTGTCAAGAAAGGGAAGGAAAGGGAAGGGAAGGGAAGGGGAGGGGGGGGAGGGGAGGGGAGGGAAGGGAGTGAGAAAGAAAGAAAGAAAGAAAGAAAGAAAGAAAGAAAGAAAGAAAGAAAGAAAGAAAGAAAGAAAGAAAGGCAAACTTAAAATAACATAATAACTAGGGACTGGTTAAATACTTTATGGTACAACCACACAATGTAATACAAATAGATGGTAAAAGAAATGAGGTGAATTTATATCTAAATGTATTGACAGAAAAAAGTGTTCAATACATGTTGTCGAGTTCTACTAAGTTACAAAATAGTATGTATAATGTGACCTCACTTATGCTAAAAACAAGCAAAAAACTTCATATACTGCACAGGAATAGGACAGAACTTTCATTTTCTAAAATTCAGTGTTTTTCTTTAAAAAACATGTAATGGAAAAAATCCCACATGGTAGGCAAACACTATAACACCAAGCTATATTCCCAGGTCCCCCTGTCCCCAATACCAGGGATTGAACTTAGGACCTTGCGCGTCCAAGGCAGGCGAGATGCCACTGAGCTACATCCCCAGCCCTTTTATTTTATTTTGAGACTGGATCTCACTAAGTTGCCCAAGCTGGTCTCAAAATTGAAATCTTGCTTCAGCCTTCCAAGTAGCTAGAATTACAGGCATGTGCCACCATATCCAGCTGCCTTTGTAATTTTTTAAGGGAATTTCCATTACAAAATGAAAGGGAAGTAGAAAAAAATTCTATTAAGCCACTGGAAAAAAAGTGCTAATAAATTCAAAATACAGTCCAGGTGATTCAACCCCACATTGAATACCACTCATAAATGCTAATATAAATCAGATTCTTGCTGTGATAGTCACACTTAATATCAACAACTAGCTTGGCCTTAGAGGTAGCAGTGATTTTGTAAAGCCCAGACCAGAAGTATGTATTATTGAGAGAGGTGATCAGAAAACAAGTAAAAGAAAAGGCAAAACCCTTTTGAATTAAGATAAAATAAATATTAATATTCAGAGCTTTATACCAACAGTTAACATTGTAGACAAATGAAGTAGAACTACACAGCTGATTTGGTTTTGATATAAACTAATGAACAGTGACAATGCTGGGCAGTGCCAAGAGATGAGGCAATCGCCTCCTTTGCTCCAGACATACAAAAGATGCCCAAGCCACTGCCCAGGTGCCTCTACCTAATCCTGTGGCCTGGAACTGCCTTTTTGACCTCTGAGTTAGCTTTTCTCTGGCCTTTCTCCCCATTCCTTGGTTGTGAGATCTTTAGCCACTCACAGTTTGTGATGGTGGCATCCCCTCTTGAGTCATATATTCTCCCAGGGTTTCTAAAATTTTTTAAAGGATGTGAATATTACTAATGTCAAAAATAAAAATTCTAAATAAACTGCATGTGCAATATGATTGCAACTTTGCTGAAATTTCATACACATGTACAGAGAGAAGGAACTGAGAAAAAATAGTTTTAACTGAGTAGTTAAGTTGTAAAGTTTGTTTTGGTTACAATTTCCCTTAATGATTGTTTCTTTTGTTGTTTTTTTTTTTTTTGGTACCAGGGATCGAACTCGGGTCCTTGCGTTTGCGCAGCAGGTGGCGAAACCACTGAGCTAAATCCCCAGCCCAATTTCCCTTAATGATTTAAGGTTGCAGCTACAATATTTTAAGTTTGATTTTTAAAATAAGCAAACATAAAATCCAAATTTTTAAAAGACTAAGATAAGGGCCGAGGATTTAGCTCAGCGGCAGTGTGCCTGCCTCGCAAGCAAAAGGTCCTGAGTTTGATTCCTGGTACTAAAAAAAAGATCAAGATACATGAGGAAATAAATAAGGAACTAGAAGGCCTATCATGCTGATAAATGGCTACATAAATAATCTGCTCCTCGACAGTAAACCAGAGAGTAAAACATGAGCTGTGAGTCTAAGTAGGAGAAAAGAATTCCATTGAAAGAAGTACTGATACATGTTATATTGTCTGGCATGTGTGGCAGAAGCAGCACGAAGCGAGGTTTTCTTGTTGTTGTTGCTGATAGTTTTTTCTTTCTTCTCTCTCTTTTTTATTTAGGCAACACTAGGGATGCCTAGTACAACCACTCAGCAATGAGTGCAAAGGCCAGCTCTTTTTATTTTTTATTTTGAGACAGGGTCTTGCTAAGTCACTCAGTTGCCTAAACTGGGGTTGAACTTGTGATCTTTCTCCCTCAGCCTCTTAGAGTGCTAATTCCAGGCATGTGCCCTGACAGCTGTTTTAAGAAAAGAAAGGCCAAGTATAAAAATTAAAATGTATGGGCCAGGGATTTAGCTCAGTGATTCTGCCACCTGCCTCACAAGCGCAAAGTCCCGAGTTCGATCCCCGGTACCAAAAAAACCAAAACAAAACAAAACAAAAAATTTTAAATGTATGGAAAAGGGAGCTGCTATTTACCAACAGAAAACATTTAAGCTAATAAGAAATGCCTGATACCTATGACACTATGAACATTCCCGGAGGCTAACCTCTAAAGTTTTAAAGATTGGCAATGACCTCATTATTATGACATCAAAGCACAGGCAACAAACCCAAAAAGTAAATATGTGGGACTCTTCTGCACAGCAAAGGAAACAATCAACAGAGTGAAAAAGCACACTATAGAATGAAAGAAAATATTTGCAGCCGGGGATGTAGCTCAGTGGCGCCACACCTGCCTGGAAAGTTCAAGGACCTGAGTTCGATCCCCAGTACTGGAAAAAAAAAAATTTTTCCACCCACATCTAATTAGGGGTTACTCTTTGAAATATAAAAGAAATTCTTACAACTCAATAGCAAAAAAAAAAAAAAAAAAAAACTATGAACCTCATTTTAAAATGTGCTATGGGCTTGACACTTTATACTTTTGTCTTTCTGCAAAGACAAACTGCCAATTACTACAGCACATGGGAAAATACTCAAGGTCACTACTCATCAGCAAATGCAAATCAACACCGGTGAGACAGTATCTCACACCTGTCAGAATGGCCATTATTTTTTTTGGTTTTGTTTTGTTTTGTTTTGTTTTTGTTTTGTTTTTGTGTTTTTTTCAGGATGGCCATTATTTTAAAACAAAACAAAAGACAAGTGTTGTCAAGGATTCAGAGAAATCAGAACCTTTGCATACTGTTGGTAGGAATGTAACATGGTATGGCAGGTATGAAAAACAATAGAGGTTCATAAAAAATTTTTAAATGGAGGTCTGAGAATGTAGTTCGATTATAGAGCATCTGCTTAACACATGCAAGGCTCTGGATTTAATCCCTAGCAGAGGAAAAAAAATTAAAAATAGAACTACCACGATCTTCTAGGTAATTACTCAAAAGAATTAAAATTGTGATATCAGAAATATTAACACTTCCATATTCACTGCAGCATCGTTAACCTTAGCCAACATGTGGCAACAACTTAAATGTCCACGGACAGATGAATGGATAGAGAAAATGTGGTACTGTATACAGAGATGATGGGATATTAATTTGCATTTAAAAAGCAAGAAATTCTGCAATATGTAACAAAATGGGCATAAAGTTTCAGCTAAGTACTGTAAATTAGCTCTAGAGATATGCTGCAAAGCACTGTACACACAGCTAACATTATACGCTTAAAAATGTGATAAGAGCGTAGATCTCATGTTAAATGTTCTTACCACAATAAAAAAAAAAATCATAAGCCGGGGATTTAGCTCAGTGGTTCCACTGCCTGCCTAGCAAGCACAAGGTTCCAAGTTCGATCCCCAGTACAAAAAAAAAAAAAAAAAATTCATAAACAAAATTCAGGGAATTTTCCTACCTCATGACCATAATAAGAACAGTGGGATTCAGGGGGTATCAAAGGGGAAATTCATAAACAAGGAGTGGCCTGACCTAAATATAATCTCCTCTTCCTCTTTCTGAACCTCCTTCTTCTACTTTTCTAAGGTAAGACAGAAGAGTGGGTGGCAAGATGTCAGGCTGAACTGGTGTGGGCAAATGGAAAAGACTTGACTGACTAGGGCTAAGAAAATCGGTCTTAAGTAATGAAGGCTGAGCTTTCTGTAGCACCAAGAGGAGGGACTCACTAGTTATTACCACAACCCAGAGAGAGCTACAGAAAAAGCAGCATTGCTAACCAAGCTCTCCTGATAGCCCTAGTAGGTATCCAGATCCTTAAGTGGCGTTCTGTAATTATGTCCTCCCTCTCAGTGCTTCATAATTCAAACATAATCAACCACAACCTAAGAAGTAAATGACATGGAGATATGATCAACTGACTGTGCAACAACTAGATACAAGAGTGGCTCTTGCTTTATTTCTGAGCAAGGAATCTTTTCATGCTACTTTTGAGCTGTGCATGGTATACCCTCATTCACCTCCAGACTAGGAAACCAGAGGGTGATACACAGAATCAGTCTTTCAACCCCTCTGCACCCAACTTCCTGTTTCCCAGACCCTGCATGGCACCTCTCAGGAAGAAGCCTCATGCCTGCGGTGCAGAGGATATAAAGGGGTGTCTCCTTGTGTTTCTTCACAGGTACATGAGCAGCAGCAAAGCTCAGAAGAGGACGAAGGTAATCACTGGCATGTTCTGGAGTATCTGCCATTGCAGAGATTCCTTAAGTAAAATAAAATATTTTCTTTAAAAAGCAGATCACAAATTCAGAAAACTGATATGCCATAGGTTCTACTTAAGGTCCTACACATTAATTTGAGAGGAGTGGGAGACAATGAATGAGATACCATCTGAAATGTCCTCAAAAGTCTTACATTTGGGCCTGGTAAAAAGGGGTGGATCACTGAGGGCATGAATTGGAAAGGTATATTCTCATTCCCAAATTCTTCCCTTCTCTCTCTGCTTCTGGTCACCATGCAGTGCTTTCCTCTACCACTCTGCTCTACCATGCTGTAAATACTTTTGAGCCAAGTGACCACAGACTGAACCCACTCAAACTGTGAGCCAAAATAAACCTTTCCTCCTTTAACTTGTAGGTGTTAGATAATTTGTTCCAGCATAGGAAAACTAATACATCTTCCCACCACCCAGACTCCCACAAAGAAAAGGGTAACTTTCTTTCTCCACCTTTTCTTCTCTCCTCTTTCATCCTTTAATAGATAAAAGAGATCAACAACAACATACTGTGCATCCTGATTAGTACCTGGTTTGATTTTTTTAACCACAGGTTGGCTGCTGCGGTCTCTCATCTGTTTGATGTCCAGCAAGTCGTGGGGGTTCCCATTATGTCTTGGCCAAAAATAAACAAAAATCCTGGAGCCACTGCTACCACAGTCTACCACGAGTCCATAATTCAAATTTGGGTCTTCAGTGTCAGTAGCTTCAAGCTCCCCTACCCGAGCCAAATACCTAAAACCAGGCAAAGAAGAGAAATCAGGCAGGCACGTGAAAGGCATCAACATTTACTTCACTGGTTCATGAGTCTTTCCTTACAGACTATATGTGTCAAGCACATGTAGTCCTAATGAAGTCCTAATGAAGGAAAAATAAAAACACACTGGCTATATTAACTGCTGTACATGAGGTAACAGCTGGTTGGCTTGACTAAGACCACTGCAAGCAATAAATAAAGACTCACCCATGTTTGGGGCAGTTTTAAAACTGGCCAGGCTATAAATCTTACAAAGTATTGAAGAGTTTGTGAGCTTGAATAAATTACTGGGTTATGCTGTTATAAGCCACCAAGTTCATACATAAACAATATGTAGAATGATTCTCACTTAATGTGGCTGTCTGGGTGGTATTTTTGATTGTATTTGGGGGCAAGATTGTTCTGTGCTTTATGCTAGAATTACATTAATAAGAATGTATTTCATAAAAATCATCTTTTTAAATATTTTGTATGGCCTGGAGGTGTAGCTCAGTGTCAGAGCACTTGTCTAGCATTTATGAGGTCCTGAGTTTGAACTCAGCAATAGAGGAAAGTAAAATATTTTATAGATATAAAAAGAATATTTATAAAATATGTGTAAGATATAAAGAATAACAATAAAACAAATGGCAATGTACCCATCACCCATCTTAAAAATAAAACATTACACAATTTAAAGAAAAAGTGCTTCTAGGCCCTAAGACATCAGTATTTTGTGTTGGGATTTTTATTTCAGATTCTCATTCCAATATATACGGTTGGAAGATGAAACAAGTAAAGGTGCTACCATCAAAAACATCAAGGATTTGAGTCTCAGCTCTATCACATTCAGCAAGTTTCTTAACTTCTCTCAGATAGTTTCTTCATCTGTAAAATAAGGAGAGTTAAAGAGTATCTACTGGAGCCTGAGGTTACAGATCAGTGGTGTACTATTTGCCTAACATGTAAGGCCCAGGGTTTCATCCCCAGCACTCCAAAAAAAAAAAAAAAATTATTTATCCTCAGAAAGAGAATGTATGTCAGTGAGTTAAGCAGTTCTGTGCCAGCACTGTTGCTAAGATAAATATTAGGAGAGCAAATACGAGGAAAAGTCTGAAGGAAAAGTCTAGAAAGAACGAAGGCTAAGAGCTGGTAAAATGCTTCTGAGCATCAAGATTTTAACATTAAAATTCATCAGAACCTGAAAGAGGGTATAACTGCATGGTACACAGACTATAATTTTATCTTCTAAATTCCTTGAAATTTGAGTAAGTGTTACTATAGAATGAGATAATAATTGTCTGGATAAATCCTGTGAAAGGTATGCTGTGAGTTTTTTCAAGTATTATAGCTAAATTCCCTTTCTCATAGACTCACCCTCTTCCTCCAACATTTTCTTTAGATTAGCTCCTAGGTCTCCAAGAGCCTTTCAAAGAACCCTTAAGAACCAGATTTTTTAAAGCCTGAAGCTAATACAATGTGGAAGCCTTCTTTGACAAAAAAAAAAAAAAAATAGAGCTGGGGTTTTAGCTTAGTGGTGCCAACACCTGCCTGGCAAGTGCAAGGTCCTGAGTTCGATTCCCAATGCCAAAAATAAAAGACTCAACATTAAAATACAAGAGGAGCTCATGCAAGTGAAGGCCTTGAAGTGTAGATACTATTAGCTTCTTGTAAATCCATGTCCAATCTGAACACTAAATGAAAGGTCACATCCCTCAAACCGATCTAGCCTGTGTTTATTCATGATTTCACATTGCTATGCACAGTATTGAGTTTCTTGCTTTGGACAGAAAAGCAAACTTAATGAAAAGAAGAGCATTTAGAATAGTTCTGAAATCAAAAAGTAGAACTGAATACCTGTCCTACTCTACAATGCAAATGCATTTTTTTTAAAACAAAAAAGAACATATATTTATCCTTCAACATAATACCATAAATGACTGCATAAGACCGACACAGATAGAATATTTTTTCCTGGATCTGAAATGGAAGCAAGTTAAGGGAAATGAAGTAGGTGGCAAAAATCTGTGACACACTGGAAAAATTCACAATCCTAGAGATTCTGCTTCACCATGTACTCTCCCACTCTGATCAAATTACTGGGCTGATGTGGGTTCAGAATTCACCAATCAACTCATAACAGCTCACTGCTATCACATGAAATCTGACAAGAGTCTATGTGTAAGCTACAGAATTCTCGCAAATACTGACAGATTTTAAAAAACAAAAACAGGCAAGCTCAAAAGGGGCTTTTCATTTCTCATCAGATGCTTTTCACTTCACATGCTTTATAGATCTTTCCCTGTTCCTTTCTTTGAAAATTGCCCTTTTCTACTTCTCTTTGACAAATTCTAGATCCCATCCCTTCCTGTTCATTGAACAATTATTCCTTATTGCACTGGGTCTCAAACTTTGTGACTCAGAACTCCTTTATATTCTTAAAAATTACTGGACCCCTGAGAGCTTTTGTGTACATGGGTTACATCTATCTATATTTAGTATATTACAAAACAGAAAAGCTTTAACTATTAATTCATTTAGCTGAAATAATAAATTCTTTGTCTATTAACACAATATATTTATATACAGAAGCTATAATTTTGCACTGAGTGTGGTGCTACACACACACATGATCTGAGCACTCTGGGAGGCTAAGTCAGGAAGATTGAAAGTTCAAGACCAGCCATGCAACTTAGCGAATTAGTGAGACCCTGTCTCAAAATTTTAAAACGCTAAAGACTTGGGCCGGGGATTTAGCTCAGTGGTTCTGCCGCCTGCCTCGCAAGCAAAAGGTCCCGCGTTCAACCCCCCGAGTTCAAAACACTAAAGACTTTTCATACTATTTTCATGCCTCTGCTGATTTAACCTGGGGCTTCATACATGCTAGGCAGGCACTCATTACTGAGCTACATACCTGCCTCCTTTTTAAAATTCTGACAGAGTTTCACAAAACTGCCCTTGTTGTTCTCAAACTTCCAATCCTCCTACCTCAGCCTCTCAAGAAGCTAGAATTACAGCCGAGGACACTGTGCCCAACTACCTTGTACTTTTGTTGTTAGGGGTTTTTTTGGTACCGGGGATCAAACTCAGGACCTTGTGCTTGTGAGGCAGGTGGCAGCACCACTGAGCTAAATCCCTGGCCCTATCTTGTACTTTTGAATGGCTTTTACCTAGATATAATTTTGTAACATCATGCATTGGAAAATATTGATTCACTGAATTATGCAAATCTCCCTAACATTGACACATTTCATTCTATAATGTAAAAAAATACTCATTATACCACCAATCTTACTCAAAAAGTCTTTTAAGTATTTGAAAGCTGTCAAATTCACAGTTGCAAGGACAAGCTTTCCAAAATTCTAATTTTCACTTGGAAATTCGAATTTTATCATTGGTATAATGATAGTTGTTTTCTTTGAAGTAACAGATTTACCTCATTCATTTTCAAGAAAATGTCCATCAAGTACCCAAGTCTGAAAACTAGTTTTCCTGGCAGTCCTTTTTTCAAGTAAAAATACTGTTTCATGATAAAAGTAGCTAGATTTAGCTCATAACTCAATTATCTAAGTGCTTTTGCTCAGCAGAACTTTAGTAAGCAACAGTGTACTTGATGCATACTTCTCATCTCATCACAAAGCATATCAAGGAGAACTGGTTATTTTTGTCCCCATTGCAACTATGTGACAATGAAGGATATAATAATAACTCATACAATTTGGTATCTCTATCATGATCTGTGCTAAAGCACCAGAGATTTTATTCAGCATTGCTTTTGTATTATTACACCAAATGTCAACTCAGTGAACAAGGCAAATAACATCACAAAAGAGATGGAAGCAACCCAAATGTATACCCATGGATAAACTGATTTTTAAAAATCTGAACTGAGTGGTGTTACATTCCTGTAATCCACCTACTTGGAAGACTGAAGTAAGGGGATCACAACTTTGAGGCAAGTCTGAGCATGAGAGGGGTCTCTGGCTTCTAGCCCCTGTGCTGAAAAGATGAGGAGATAAATAAATGGTGTGTGTGTGTGTGTGTGTGTGTGTGTGTGTGTGTGAAGGAATATTTGTCAGCTGTCAAAAGTAAGAAATCCTGCCACATGCTTCTACATGGACAAACCTTCAGAACATTATGCCAAGGGCTTTCCACATGCCAAAAATGAAACCTAGGCCCATCTCTCTCACCATGCACTAAACTAATATCAAAATAGATTGGAGATCTGAATATTAAACCAGAAACACTTTATTTTTTGGAAGATAGAATAGGTAAAACTCTTGAAGACACTGGTGTAGGCAAAGACTTTATGAACAAAATACTGACTGCACAGGAAATGTAACAAGAAATCAACAGCTAGGATCACGTCATATTAAAAAGCTTTTGCAGGGGCCGGGGATTTAGCTCAGTGGTTTCACTGCCTGCTGTGCAAGCACAAGGACCCGAGTTCGATCCCCAGTACCAAAAAAAAAAAAAAAAAGTGGTTTATATTTTGGGCTGGGTATTTAGCTCAGTGGTTTCGCAGCCTGCTGTGCAAGCACAAGGACCTGAGTTAAATCCCCAGTACCAAAAAAAAAAAGAAGCTTTTGCAGCTGGGGATTTGGTTCAGTGGCACAGTGCCTGCCTGGCAAGTGCAAGGTCCTGAGTTCGATCCCTGATACCAAAAAAAGGAAAGCTTTTGCACAGCAAAATAAATCATCAATAGAGTGAAAAGGCAACCCACAGAATGGAAAAAAATTTTACCAGCTATTCCTCAAACAGAGGACTAATATTAGAATATTTAAAGAATTTTAAAAAGTCAGTGTCCCCCTGCCGAATTTAAAGACCCAAGCCAAAAATTGGTGTCTGAAATGAACAGACACTGTTCAGATGAGGAAGTATAAACAACAAATAAATATATGAAAAAATGTTCAACATCACTGGTCACTCAAGAGATGCAAATTAAAACAATTCTGAGATTCTATCTCACTCCGGAAAGAATGGCTGCTATCGAGATATC